AAAATAAACATGAACTTCGCGAAAATTTTACGAAAATAAAATTTTTATTTGCGAAAAATAGCCGGTCCGGGATAAAGGCATTTTGATTAACAACCAAATATATTGAATATATATGGGTTATCTAACTACCAGAAATTCACGGAAGAACTAAATTAGCACCAACAACGGGAACAAAACCAGCAGGAAAAGCAGCAGAAACGACAACAATAGCAGCAGCTCCTATGGAAAAGTAATTTTAGGGAATATAATATTATAAAATATTATTTTTATATTCTGCGGGATTGAAATTGGTAATTATTAAATATATTGTGATGGTTGCGTGAAATAAATTAGTAAATTATATAATAAGTGGATCAAAAATAATAAGGAAATATCTGTGAAAAGGTGGTTGTGAAGAGGTCGTTTCGAAAAGATTTGTCTTAGGGAATGGGTAGCTCAACTAAGAGCTACAATTATTCAGCCAGTCAATCAGTTATCCACTTGCTCACTGACTCCCTCACTCCCTCAATTCCTCACTCCCTTGTTCGCTGATTCATACAGTCATTCACCCATTCAGTCACTAAATCGCTCTTTTACTCATTCACTCATGCCTTCACGCCTTCATTCCTTCCTTCTTTCATTGCTTTATTTTGATTCATTCCACGCATTCCTTCATGCCTTCCATTCCATCCATCCATCCAATCAGTCAGGCTGTTTGTCATTTCATTCACTACTGAACCTAACATCTGCTATGCATGCTACAGACCTTCCATGACCTTCCTATAAGCCATTGATTTACCCTGAGAGGGCCGGGCACTACTGGTAGCTCTCGCTTTTGAGGGGAGGCTGCACCTTCTCGATTTTAGATCGCCCAAGAATTTCTGGGGAAAAGGCAAGCAGGTAGCTTTGATTTTTAAGTTCCATTTGGTTATAATATATATGTAATGTTGGGTCCTGATTAGTACCTAGGGTCGCTATTGTGGCAATTTTTTTCCAAATTATTCTGAAACTCATGTATTGTTTGGAGGGTTCGCTTTTGTGGCAAAACAAAATTGGGAGAGCCCTTTTTTTGCAAAAAAAACTGTAATTGCTGAGAGGCATTTTTTTCTCAAAAACGCTGTAGCTCAGTCAAGGTAGGTTTGTTTGCTGGGTTCACTATTGCAGCAAGCTGTGCCAGAGCAGCTCCTGGAAGCCCAGAAGCGAAGCAAGCCTTTGCCAAAATTGCCAAATTCAAACCCCAAGCCTTTCCCAAAAGAACAAATCCCTTATTAAACCCTTATTAAAGAACAGCTTTTCCACAATTTTCCAAGGCCCTGGGCCAGGAGAGGCTCCATTTCACTTTAGTAGGTTTGTTTGCTGGGTTCACTATTGCAGCAAGCTGTGCCAGAGCAGCCCCTGGAAGCCCAGAAGGGAAGCAAGCCTTTTCCAAAAGCAATTGCCAAATTCAAACTCCAAGCCTTTCCCAAAGGAGCCAATCCCTTATTAAACCCTTATTAACGAACAGCTTTTCCACAATTTTCCAAGGCCCTGGGCCAGGAGAGGCTCCATTTCACTTTAGTAGGTTTGTTTGCTGGGTTCACTATTGCAGCAAGCTGTGCCAGAGCAGCCCCTGGAAGCCCAGAAGAGAAGCAAGCCTTTTCCAAAGGCAATTGCCAAATTCAAACTCCAAGCCTTCCCCAAAGGAGCCAATACCTTATTAAACCCTTATTAAAGAACAGCTTTTCCACAATTTCCCAAGGCCCTGGACCAGGAGAGGCTCCATTTCACTTTAGTAGGTTTGTTTGCTGGGTTCACTATTGCAGCAAGCTGTGCCAGAGCAGCCCCTGGAAGCCCAGAAGGGAAGCAAGCCTTTTCCAAAGGCAATTGCCAAATTCAAACTCCAAGCCTTTCCCAAAGGAGCCAATCCCTTATTAAGCCCTTATTAAAGAACAGCTTTTCCACAATTTTCCAAGGTCCTGGGCCAGGAGAGGCTCCATTGCACTTTAGTAGGCTTGTTTGCTGGGTTCACTATTGCAGCAAGCTGTGCCAGAGCAGCCCCTGGAAGCCCAGAAAGGAAGCAAGCCTTTTCCAAAGGCAATTGCCAAATTCAAACTCCAAGCCTTTCCCAAAGGAGCCAATCCCTTATTAAACCCTTATTAAAGAACAGCTTTTCCACAATTTCCCAAGGCCCTGGACCAGGAGAGGTTCCATTTCACTTTAGTAGGTTTGTTTGCTGGGTTCACTATTGCAGCAGGCTGTGCCAGAGCAGCCCCTGGAAGCCCAGAAGAGAAGCAAGCCTTTTCCAAAGGCAATTGCCAAATTCAAACTCCAAGCCTTTCCCAAAGGAGCCAATCGCTTATTAAACCATTATTAAAGAACAGCTTTTCCGCAATTTCCCAAGGCCCTGGACCAGGAGAGGCTCCATTTCACTTTAGTAGGTTTGTTTGCTGGGTTCACTATTGCAGCAAGCTGTGCCAGAGCAGCTCCTGGAAGCCCAGAAGAGAAGCAAGCCTTTTCCAAAGGCAATTGCCAAATTCAAACTCCAAGCCTTTCCCAAAGGAGCCAATCCCTTATTAAACCCTTATTAAAGAACAGCTTTTCCACAATTTTCCAAGGCCCTGGACTAGGAGAGGCTCCATTTCACTTTAGTAGGTTTGTTTGCTGGGCTCACTATTGCAGCAAGCTGTGCCAGGGCAGCTCCTGGAAGCCCAGAAGAGAAGCAAGCCTTTTCCAAAGGCAATTGCCAAATTCAAACTCCAAGCCTTTCCCAAAGGAGCCAATCCCTTATTAAACCATTATTAAAGAACAGCTTTTCCACAATTTTCCAAGGCCCTGGACCAGGAGAGGTTCCATTTCACTTTAGTAGGTTTGTTTGCTGGGTTCACTATTGCAGCAAGCTGTGCCAGAGCAGCTCCTGGAAGCCCAGAAGAGAAGCAAGCCTTTTCCAAAGGCAATTGCCAAATTCAAACTCCAAGCCTTTCCCAAAGGAGCCAATCCCTTATTAAACCCTTACTACAAGTACTACAAGTGCTACAAGTACTACAAATACTACAAGTACTACAAGTACTACAAGTACTACAAGTACTACAAGTACTACAAGTACTACAAGTACTACAAGTACAACAAGTACTACAAGTCCTACATGTACTACATGTACTACAAGTACTACAAGTACTACAAGTACTCCAAGTACTACATGTACTACAAGTACTACAAGTACTACAAGCACTACAAGTAATACAAGTACTACAAGTACTACAAGTACTACAAGTACTACAAGTACTACAAGTACTACAAGTACTACAAGTACTACAAGTACTACAAGTACTACAATTACTACAAGTACTACAAGTACTACAAGTACTACAAGTACTACAAGTACTACAAGTACTACAAGTACTACAAGTACTACAAGTACTACAAGTACTACAAGTACTACAAGTACTACAAGTACTACAAGTACTACAAGTACTACACGTACTACAAGTACTACAAGTACTACATGTACTACAAGTACTACAAGTACTACAAGTACTACAAGTACTGCAAGTACTGCAAGTACTACAAGTACTACATGTACTACAAGTACTACAAGTACTACAAGTACTACAAGTACTACAAGTACTACAAGTACTACAAGTACCACAACTTCATCGGCAAAAAAAAACAATAGTAATTAGATTTCAATTGTAGCCAATTGAAATCCTTACTTAATCGAGGATATGTTTTTCTTTTGGGAAGAATTTTTTTGCTTTTCTACTTTAAAGAGAGTCCGGATATAGTTTAGGGGAGGGGGGGGGGCACACACTAATCAGGAACCAACATTATATACACATACTAAATCAAATACTTCATGTTGAAAGAAAGGAAAATGACGATGTTCAAAACATCCGTATCCCAGTAGCGTAAGAAAATCCACGGAAGGATTTGGCGCAGCTTCTTTTCAATTTAATAACGCGAACAATTCTGTTGGGTTCCAGCTTGGCCCAAACATATTTGGCTTCTAGCACTGGCAAAACAAGGCTTCATCCCATGCAGTCCCTGGCTGAAAAATGCTTCTCTGATTACCTTTTTTGATATGGGACTTCGGAAAGAATCCATTGGCTGAACGGTTTACCTGGAATAGCCATGAATAGCCTCAGTCTCGGATCACAAAATGCAAAGTACTAGATTGACCATCGGCCACTACATAAAAGATGGTAGTTCATAGCAAAGCGCAGCAGCCCATGCCAAATCCAAAGAGTTCTGTCTTTTCGTATGAATTCAGTTTCAGTGAGACGAGGTGCAACCCAAAACATCTATCTTTGAGTAAGATCCTGCAATCCTGCACGCTCAGGCACACTCCCTGAAACTTACCTTGGAGGGACGTTTTCCTGCGATGATCGACGTCGGATTGGGCCGACTGTGAGGGCCAAAGCTGATTCCAAAGTCTTTGTGGATCCCTGACATTGCGAAGCAAATGGGCCCAGAATAGCGTAATCAAAAAGTTGGCAAAAACCAAAAGCTCATTGCGTTGGCCTTCCGGATCCTTCCGGATCATTCTATTTGAAGCAGGTACAAATGCAGTATCCATCTGTCTCAGCAATTCTCAGCATCACAAGCGCTTGCAGCCGCTTGCAAGTTGGACCTGGAAACATGAGGCTAGCAGCGACTCGCAAACTTGCGGGGTCCCAGTGGCATCACGGGGCTTCTTTGAGCTTGCGGCCACGCGAAAGCCACGAGAACAGCTGCCAAACACACAATAAGTGGGGCAGACTAAGTGGCAAAACACGGCCAGCCGTGCCATTTTTAAAGTGGAAACACACCAAGAAAGCTTGGCAAAAAAGAGCCGTGCTCGTTTTCTTGGCTCTCGAAGCACCATTCCCACAGTGGCCGGGAGTTGCTTGTGCCCGGTGAAAATCCGTATGAAAACAATCAAGCGGGTCTGGTTGAAAATATAAGGTTCCCAAATCCTCTGGTTCATCATCAATTGCTCTATTAAGGGTTTAATTTTATTGATAGGGTTCCCTAATAATAAATACCACCCTAATACTAAAAACATCTAAAAACATCTAAAAACTACCTGCCGTGTTTAATAATAGGGGGGGACATTTCGTATTAGGAGGAAGGGATTATCTCTTGCTCATTTGCTTTGGCACAGGCATGCACAGGCTGAGGTCCTCAACGAGACTTTGGTTCATCCCAAGCCGGCGAAAGTAGTCCTTGATGAACTTCAATGGAGCGCCCCGTAAGCGATCCACGCACACATGTTGCGGCCCCTTCACCCCCCAACGGTCCCGGATAAAACCCATAGTTGCGTTGACTTCGAAGTTCCACGAGGTACAAGGAATATCAGGAATAGCTTGCAAAAAAGCACCACAAATCGGTGCACCGTGCAAAGCCCAGTGAGCATTCGGTAAAAGCACGGTGTGACTGGTGTTGGAGCGATTCCAGAGTTTCCAGAGCAAAGATTGCCAGGCATCCTTGTCCAATGTTGTGAATGATGAACGGATTGTGGCAGGTTCAGTGAAGACATACGTAGCGAACTTCCGCTCAAAGATGTTGATCAAATCATTGTAGGCGTACACGCTGCCTTTCACCGACGAAACTACGAAAGCGGGATCGTCGTGCCCCAAATACGGCGCAAAGTCCGGCCGCAGTACGAGCAGCTGGCGAAAGCGCTGTCCAGTCTGCATTTCATACCGCAATATACGATCAAAAGCTATAACACGCGCACGAAATAGGTTGTTCTGCCCACCTTCCCCGGGAAATTTGGCCTTGACGTCCAGCATTGCTCGAAGTGTAGGGTCTTGAACGTACTGACGTGCGACCTGCCAACCGCAGGTCGCATCCTCCACAAACGCTGCGTCCCATGTCACGTTGAGATTCTCCAAGGCTTCTCGCAATTCTTTCACCGTGAACTTAGACCAGACCTGGCATCGGGATCGCCTTTTGTGTGGAACAAGGCCCTGCCTATTGTCAAAGGTTGCCAAAAACAAACAAACCTGCTGAAACAAGGGATGACTCAAAATCAGAGAAACGATCAAATTGGTTACAGCTGATTTTGCACCAAAAAAGTTGCACAGAGCTTGGGATTCGGGACTGAAGGAACATTTGCACACACACTTTCACAGAATTCGTGCTGCGTCCTAGAGATGGAAAGACACAAACAAAGGATAACACAAGGTATACGGTATACGGTATATTAGGAAAGTGCAAGGAAACAACGCTTTTGCATTCTAAATATTCTAAATTCTGCCGACCCTGCCAAATGATGCCCTTGCAAAAGCAAGATAAAAGTACAGTAGTGCCCGAAATCGCCAAACATGTCCATTAGACATACATGGCTCAAGGATGTTCGGACGGCTAGTCCATATTTTCGAGGTGGGCCTGGTCACAAAACTATTTGATTAGCGCTTGATGTGAAGTAGACCCCGTGGGTCTACTTCAACCGAATCCTATGCCTGGTCTTTCCTCGCTGTCAAGCCGGTCCCTCTGAACTTTTGGCTCGAGATAGTGGTCAAAACGGCAAAAAGCACCAAGTCTCCATCGAAGCGAGCCAGAAAGAGTCGCCAAAACTCATTCATCAGTGTACTAAAGAAGGACCTGGTCATCCCTGCTAGAACAATGGCAAAACGAGGACCTTTCAAAGGCAAAGTTTTGGATTCGGCGGGAAGCAGAAAGCCGCTGGAGCACTGGCAATCCATACCGAAACACCGAGAAATTTCATGTTCTTCACACATGAAGCGATTGGCTCGGCAACTTGCATTGCAAGCCAAGGAGAAATTGATGCCCAGTTCCAGTTGTTCGATACCTTTGGCATCCAATGAGACAGGAGTCCAAGGTAATGCTGATTGCCCTGGAATCAATGCTGGAATCAATGGAGGGTGGGTAGTTGTCCTTGGTGTCCTTGTTGAACTGATTGACTTGGTGGATGTCGATCTTGTTGATCCCGGAAAAATCTCAGCTGACTCTGAGAAAGATGTCAGCTTCACATCATGTAAGTTGGATAAGTCGTTGGATAGGTTGTTGGAATTGTGTATCTCGTGAGGTATGTGGATGTGCTCCAGCGGCTGTTGCGCGTGTTGCGTCCGTAGGGCAGCGGGTATTCTCCTCACTTCAGTCTGGAATGCCACCAGAATGGAGGAGAGCAGAAGCAGAGCAGAAAGCAGCAAAATCGGCAAAGACCTTGGAGCCATGGCTCGCGATGCATGAGCCTCGAAGCCTCGACCCCAGGACTCATAGGACTCATAGGATTCATGCTTCATCTTGATGGGTGCACAATCTGATGTTTTCATATGTTTTCTGAGCGATGTCACCAGTCATCTCAATGGGTGAACTAAGTAGCTAAGCTCGAAGCATGCACTTGGGAAGGGTTTGTAGCTTCCTACGCCAGGACTGTTTTCAAGTTGGATGAAAGTTGAAATATGTTGAAACTGTATCATGCTCTGTCGCATATCTCCGAGAAGCGATGGGATGCCTGAACCAACGCAGTCAACATGGATCTATCAGCTTGAGAAGCTGCTCATTAGGCTAGAAGCACTGCAGAGTACAGGCTAGGACCAGCTAGAAAATCATCTCCCCGAACACATCTGAGGTAGCCCCGCATTCAAATTGGCCACAAACTCAGTTGTTCACTTGGCCAAAGACCCAAATGAGTTTGCTAGAAGGTATCTTTGTCCAATCCCATATTGATACAACTGAATGGCAAGTAAGAAGGAGTGCCAAGGTTTGCTCTCTCTCAAAAAGTTAGCTGGTCAGCACGTAAGTACATAGCACGTTTTGTTTTGAGATTCCTTCTCTCTCCTAAAGAACAATTTCTAAAGTGAGAAAAGCACTTCGTGTATAAATTACATTAAATTACGATGAAGACACCCGCAGTTTCTTCCCTGGTTTTTTGCGCGTTCAAGTCAAGGCATAGTTTGCCCGGAGCATCCAACTGTGCAAGAGGAGAATCCGGTGCCAAAGAATGCACCTTGTGGCCTCCATGGAGGTGTGTTCTAGGTCGCTCGGCGAAGCTTCTCTTTCTCTGTCAGTGTGCAGCTTTCAAACCTTCCGGCAGCAGCAGGAAACTCGTGCGCTTTCTTCCGAGGAAACTCGTCCAATCTGAGGATCACTGAGGTTCACTGAGGATCTTGTAACCGATTGTAACGAAACGTGTAACTGTGGATCCTCCCATGAAATCAGGTTCCTTCGAGTCCAGTATCAGTATCTGGCTGTTTCAACAGGGAGCTTTTGGGGACCAGCCACAGGGAACTTTCAACACCGAGCCCCGCATGGAGCCACATACGCTGAAAATATCCCACAAGGTGCGGTAAATGCTGTGACATTCATAGAATGTCCCGGAACAGGAGACCACCCAAGTCTGTCCCCTACTCTGATCAATCAAAGAGATGATATCATTACTGGGCCGCACAGCCACCAGGCTGACACTTTCGTCCGTCATCTTCGCATGTAAATCGCGTATCTTCTCCGAATCCATCTGGTGCATCAGCACATGAGCTGCATGATGCACACCCGGGGCGGCAAAGGTGACCACCTGCAACCTGCTGAAATAGGCGCTGAGTCAATCTGATTCATAAGGGGGGAGCCATGTCCAACATTGAATTCACATGTTTTTCTCCTTTTAACGGTGCTATAAGAGTTCTCCCCCCGAAAGAAGATATAAGAAGATATAAGAAGATAAAGATGTTAAGAGGAAAGTGTTACCAACCTCTTGCCTTGCGCGCTGAGGTATCTTGATGGCCAGTTTCACCAACTTCGCAACACCACCACCCAACGAATGGCCGGTGATGTAATACTCGCGTTCTGGATGTTGATTGATCATCAACTCCGCCGCAGAAAGCACAGATTCGACTGTCTTCTTCCGGTCGATGTATGCCATGGGGAGCATCTGTGACAGCTCTGCTGTGGCCATACCCCAGGCTCCATAGGCCGTATCTAGGCCGACTAAGCCGAAGAATTGCAACAAGACAGGGACGATCCACAGCGACACATCTTGCAACACATCCAGACAATCCAAGGTGCCACGGACAGCAATGACAGTGGTCTGATTATCTTCTGACCTTGGCTGAAACAGAATGGGTTCCAGAATGGGTTCCAATATGGCCACCCGAATAAGAAAACGTTCCATTTTTGGTACCTTTCTTGAACTTTCTTGTCAAGATTATTTGCTTTGGGATCTTGGATATCTTTGCATGTGGGATTAATTCTTGCATTCCTATTCAGAGAAAGCAGCAGGATCTACCAACACATCAGGCACTTGTCATGGTCAAAAATTGATGTCTTCCAGCTACATTGCAGGCTGAAATGGAGCGAGGCGCGTAAACATCAGGAACTTCACCCCTGTGGTCTGGTTTTCTGGTGGCTGTTCTAAATGCCATTGGGAGGAGAAATAGTATTCACAAGCCTCTGCCACCCGAAAGCGCGGTTCATAGGTCAGCGATGCCATCAGACCGAAATCCGCCAGGGAAATTGCACGGTGGAAGTCTTGGTCATAGCCCTGGCGGAAACGAAAATTGCACACGGGCAGAATGCTTCGGAGGGGCACCTCAGGAACCTGCGGCGCATGCAAAGGATCCAGTGGATTTCCTGGGTCAGGTTGGAAGGAATAGAACTTGGTATGGTTCAGCAGGGGCCCAAAAGCACTCCAATCTGAATCCACGCCATAGGTTTCTAATGCAAAACACACCAAGATCAAGAAGAGAAGATGGACCAGTCCCATGATGTTGACACTCGCCATTCGTAATCTCTCACCAGCAACGATCCTTCGCTGAAAGCCAAACTGTCGCATCGCAGACAGGAGCATCACTACCTGAAATTATACGTGATCAGAAACTGAAAACATCAAAGACATCAAGTGACATCAATGAGGTGGTTCTCTAATAACATATCCCCATTAAATTTTAAAATAGCATTAACATCCCAGTAGATGAAAAAATCCCTCATTTCTATTGATGTCTTTTCTATTTCGTTCTATTTTGCTTTTGCTATCTACTGCCATCTATGACATCTGCCTGACATGGACGCTCTCTCCACCTGGGTGTTCAAAACCCCCTGTCATTCGATTCTACTGGCTAAATGTGATCAAATGTGATCATGTTTTATATCTTGGACTATCTTGCAAAGTTTAAGATAGTCAAACCCTCGAACTCATCATCCTCAACCACCAATATCCAGCACCAATAAACCACTAACCACCAGGGCTTTTGCCCAGTCCTCCAGTCACCGAGTAGCCGCTGCATCGTTATAGGCATTGCCTGCTGTGGAGACCACCACGAAGTTCAGCAGCACATTTTCCACCAGGGACTCACCGAAGCCCCACAGCCATCCCAGGCTGCCTTCGCCAAAGACGCAGAAAATGCGTACGAAGGTCCCACAGGACAACACCAAACAACCTATCATCACTGCTGGAAACCGAAAGGAACTGAAGACCAAAGCTGATAATCCCAAGATCATCAGAAAGGGATATCTTTGACGTTTCTGTGCATGGACGCTTAAGGAACACCACTGTTCGCTCCAGTCTTGTAGCGCTTCGGGGTGTGGGAAGAAGCGTTTCACCTGAGAGTCGCGCCCCTCACCATGTGCAATTTTCAAGATCATCCCATTGGAATCTGCTGGTTCAGCTACCCGCTATCATCATCTACATCCACAATATGGGTAGCTGAACCAGCTATTGGATGTTCAGTTATTTGCTTCATCCATAATCTATCAAACAAAATCTGGAAAGCCAACCCTTGGATCAGGCAACCCATCTCGGTGGTCGTGGTGTGCATCTAGGATTCTCCGGTTCTCTGAGACAGGCCATGACCGACATGATGCTGGAACACACCAGGCCTGCCACGATGGCCCAACCGTTCCGATCCACCAGCAGTCCCAGCACCAGCGCTGTGAGCGCCAAAGATATGGGAAGGCAACGCCCCACGCAGTGCATCCAATGACCACAGAGGACGTAAATGGAACGACCTTCACCTTTGCCAAGAAAATACCTCACTATGGATTGATGTTTTTGAGGAAAAACGCCTTGAAAATCAAGACAATCAAGTGATTCTATGAAATGATCATGATTCACCATGATTCCAAGATGTTCCAAGATGTTCAAGTTGGTTTATGTTTCCAGATGTTTCCAGTCACATGGGTGCAACAAACAAATGACTTGGAGCCGCCAGATACATTGCAGTCCTCTGTGCGGTGTGTGTGCGCAATCGCACAGCTTCTTGCCCCCTTGCTACATGCCAAGCCAATCGAAAGTGATGTGCCTTGAGGTACACTTCACCAAACAGCCACAGAAAATATAAGACGAGGATATGGAACACTCCTACCAGGATGTTGAAAACAAAGCCTCGATCTATCTATAAATATCTATAAATATCCATAAACTCCATCAAGATGTAAACTGGAGTCACTTTCCAGCCCCAGTCCTATGGCAAGACAAATGCGAGCTCCTTCTATTGCAGTGTTGTCATCCCCGACCATCCCATGAAAAGCCAGGATCATGGGGACCACGTCCAGAGAGACGTGCAGAAAGACTTGGAAGAACACATCCTGGGCAGGTTGAGCCATCCTTTACCCATGACGGATCCGGCTGGTGCTGGTATATTAATGCTAACATGACTGGGGTATATTGATGGGATCCATGTTACCATATATAGCAGCACCATGGATCCTATGGGTTAGAAACTAACCATGGCAACTATGGTTCTTGGAGCATCATCCAAGAAAAAACGTGCAAATAACGACATCGACGATGAAACATACTCTCTGGTAATCAAAATGGCAATGGGAAATCCTACATCTACAAATGATTTCCCAATCAACCACCCCGTTTATATGTATATATACATATATAGTTACATTATATATACCGGATTTCAGTTGCCATGTTGGATTACCAGAGGGTATATTGAAACCATGAACCAGCATCCATCAGTTTTTGACGCCGGGTGAGGCACATCGACCAATTGTTTGAATAGAACTCACCCGCTTCAATCTCTTTCCAAGCATCACCCACCAATAATCTGCGGTAGCCCTCGAAGCTATCTGGTCGCCAGGTATCTTTGCAAAGTAAATAGGTGAAACGTAGTAAGTCGCTGGTAACACTCAACAAAATGTAGCACCTGAAGAATGCGCCGAAGAAACCCAAAGTCACGTGATATTTGAACTCCATGCTATAGAAAGTGACCACATGAAATTTGGTTTCAGAGAAC